AGTCAGCACCAACTTCTTTATAATGAGAGCATTGCTCCTTTAAGAAATCAGTGCAGCCTTTCAGAGGCCTAGCTGAAACATGTTCTAGCCGTGCATACTCTTTGGTCCCTACTGAGTCTTTGGTAAGCCAGCAATGTGGGTCATGCTTGGCTGAAAGCAACAATCAATCATTCACCATAAATGAGGAGGCAGCATTAAGTTTGCATGCCAGCAATTGAACAGATACGGGTGTGAGCTCTCATAATCTCTTCAACCACTTTTCTTACCCAAAAGACGTTATGTACCTCTTGATTTCCAGTGTTGTTTTACATATCATAAGTTCAGCTTTCTATCACCAATTCATAGCACAACATGTTGCTATATTTTATATATAGATCGATAGATACACACTATCCAGCCATGGAACAAAGCAACATATTGTGCTATGAATTGGTGATAGAAAGCTGAACTTATGATAAGAAAATTGACAGCTTCACAAACCTATTGTCTCAATAGAAACTGGAATTGATCTATCGTTACAATTCTGCAAGCAGTCCCCATACTTATCATTCTAATTTTAATCCTTATGAGATGACATATTCTAGAAAAATAACTAGACTTGATCTCAAAAGGGATTTCACAAAAGCTTTGAATCTATCAATATAAAAAAGTTATATTGTCCTGAACATCACTTGGTACTATTAACAATGAGTCCACAAGTATGGTAGAAATTTGAGAGAGAATAAGTGGATAATAGTTAATTTTTTATTTGCCAATCATCAACAAGTTGCAATTCTACAGTGCTGCTTTTGTGTTAAAAGATGATTATCTGCTTTTTGAAAAGAAAGAAACAGAAATGTGTTCAGCAGTCAGGAAAAGAGAAAAATGTAGGTGTTAGAGTGGGTGCTGATTAAGAAAAAGAAATGCTTTAAGAAGATCTTTGAAGACAATATTGCATGGCAGTCCAAAGAAGCAAGTTATGAAGATTAAGAGCAAAACAATTAAAAGCATGACTAGAAATGGGGAACAAATGCAAGAAATGAGATGTAGACTGGTGATAGAGGAGCAAAGGTGTGTACGGAAATACGAGATTAGAGATGTTTGCTAAGAGCAGGAAAGTGCAACAACTCTGAAATTTATAGTTGTCTACACCCTATTCTGAATGAAATGCCTTTTACGCAACATGTTATTCTTGTCATTTTGCAGTAATACCAAACTCCCAGCCTTTACCTACCCACTTGAGTTTCTCACCACTGTGCAACTTTTTTTATGCACTGTAACTTTGGTTGGAGCCTCCAACCTTATATTGCAAATTTACTGTTAAATTCACCAGTTTCTCTCTGCTGTATTTGAAATTACTGCTTGAGCCAGCTTGCTTCTTCACTCTATTTCATTATGAGGATGTTTCCAAACATTCCTTTGTCTTCTTGCAACTCTCTGACGTTGAAAATCCTTTTCTTAAGCCACTGTCTCAACAGCTTACGCTTTGTCGCTAACTCTTGACCTCTCTTTTCCTGCTTGCCCCTTAAAATCATAATGTGGAAGTAGGCCATTCTACCCATCAAGTCCACACTGACCCTCCAAAGAGCATCCCACCCAGAAGATGTTAGACTATTAGATAGATAATCTAACTCCTGAGTAACTATTCAGCTGCCCCCATACTTACCTCTCACACCCAACTACACCTTCTCCAGATGTCTCACAGCACCTAAACCCTGACCCTGAACCAATCCACCCTCAATCCTGACTCCTCCCAGCAGATACAACACCACCCCCACCGCCCCCACCACCATCCCTGACACAAATTCTGTCAGACCATCCACCCTGTCATACCCAAAGCACTACCTCACATACTTGGCTTCTTTGCCACTTTGTGCCCTGGAAACATACCCACTTGGCATCCCGCCCCCTTTCCATTTTGGTGTCCTATCAACCTGACACCCTATGTTCTATCCAGCTGGCAGTCTAGTTACTTGGCATCCAAACCACTACTCATCTGGCACCCTATCTACTGGCACTGTACTGCTATCCAGCTGGCATCCTAACTACCTGGCAGCTAGCCCCTTACACATCTGTCACCTTAATGTCCCAGCACCCGAACGTCACACCAGCCCTACGCACTTAGCTTTTGACGGCAGCTGTCAAAGTCAGCGCCTTTAAATTTCAGAATACAGCAGCTGACTGCTGTGAAAAGATGGCATGTTTGTCTTCCCCTGACAATTCTGTGCTATGAAAGAACTGTCAGAATGGAGAATGGCTCTGCATTTCTGAGGGAGCCTAAGCAGGATCTCCTGTCAGAAATGTGGAGCTTTCTTTTTGTTTTGAAGGGAAGGGCTGGAGTGACAACTGTGTGAGAAAGCCACTCCTTGGTAAATGCAGCCCTACACATTGGCTGTGTATCAAATTTGGATATTGTTCCATAAATTTAACTAAAATTAAAGGAAATAAAGCTCAGTTTAGTTAATTGTTTGTGAATTCTAAATCTGCATGAGCAGGCAGGAAATTTGGGCACATACTATCTGAAGTGACATTAAGTGGACAATTAAGAGATAGTTGATTGTATTTTCACACATGAACATGAGAGTGCATTTCTTGTGTCCAGTATTTATTACAAGTTCATTACTTTGCCAAAATTGATTACAGACTAAATGTGGGTCACTTAACCAGTGGATCATTCCTGCAGGAACGTCTTGCTGTCCCTATAAGCCCCCTCTTACTCAACGATTGATCAATCACGTCTCTCCAATATATTGAAATCCTTTGACCCCAGTAAATGAGTGAAAATCCACTGATTTTGTGGTGGAAAGGGAATTGTGAGCTGTATAGTATACGCAAACAATGCTTATAAATGGGTTGTAAGGAAGACACTTATTTAATTATTAACTTTTTAAAAAATGTTCTTAAGTGCTCTTATTATTAATAAGATTTATCAGTTTTCACAATGTGAACACAAATTTTGGGATCACAATATGAGTCTGCAAGTTATTCCTTATATTATAAGGTTTTTTTTAAAAAGCACCCTGGCAGTTTTCCACTGGCCCTAAGTTTGATCTATAATGGAAATTAACAGTGGAATTAATTTTTATTTTCATTCTGTATATAATACATACTTGTTTGTATGATACATCATTTTATGTTATGCAAAGTTTAATTTATTCCATTTCACACAGTTGTTTTAACTTCAGATTAACATTGCCATTATATAACGTAGAATAGAAAAGCAATTATCAGTCACAACAAACAAATTAGTGGGATTCATATTTCCAGTTTTAGCTCAGTATTTAAATAAATTTGCTTTCATCTTTAATAACCTATAGGAGTTAGATAAACCATAACTTGCCTCATTTGTCTTATTTCTCAATATTCATGAATTAATAATGTATTTTCTGCAGCTGTTTGAATTTTAATGGATACCCTCAGTGTCATAGTTAGTTTGCAATTCTATTGCTGTATACTGTTTTTATGGAATAAGAGATTTGAATAGCATGTTATTTTGTATGTTTGAACACAATGCAGAGGATAGCTGTTCAAAGTTTTTTATGCTAAAGCAATCTATTGTTATGGACCAGACCAAACTCCCTCAAAATATATTAAGAAGGGAGCCCAGACCCTAACCTTTTCTTATTTTGCAGGTAATATATTTTACAAGTATAAGGTGTTACGTTCGAGATGCAATTGGTCAAGCTACTCGACTTCATTTTTACACTACAGTTAAAATTCAGCCAAAATAAAAATAAAAGAATTGGATTAACTGTAAATCTATAGATATGCTTAACAAAATAATATATATTAACTAAAACTAATTAACTTCCAATATAGTAACATCCCATAAACACACCCTTGGCAAAGGCAAATCCAGTGAAATAGATTGTTTCACATGGAATTCTAGCAGCGGGAAGAGAATCCCAGCTTTTAGCTGTAACAGAGAGAGGAATAAGAGCTTCCACATCCAGCTTCAAGACCCCAGCAACTGCTGAAAGCTAAAACTGAAAATCCTGGTTCTGTGGGAGCATGTTCCCACCCATTCAGTCTGCTTCTACTGTTCCAACTTTAAAAATAAACCTACGGCCTCACAAACTGTTTACTTTATTGGCTTTGAGCACACCGCTTGACATCTCTATCTCAACCTTCCTTTACAAAAAAAAGGATAAAATACGCCTCTTAAAGCCATAGTATCATCGCACTATTACATATTTATGTAAATTTTGACACTTCCAGTTTGTACAACACTTTATGAAGTCTATCATGCTGTTTTTGGCCTTTCAGTGAAAGCTAGTATTTGATGACTTGCTTGCTGTCAATCCAGGCCAAGCTGAATTTTTAGATATACATAAATGCCAGCTCAGAACCTGTTGGCATGTTAGATTCCGTACTTTTATGTCCCTGTACTACTGTAAACATCTTTGCATAGACTCGAGGTTATCACCAGAAGAAATGTGTAAGTAATTGAAAAAGATGTAATAAGTATATATGACAAAAGACAGGTTCATTTTAGTGTTGGCAGTGACACAGTTGCAATAGGGGGAATAGCCTCCTTTCCCTATTAAACTGTTTTTGAGTTTGAATCCATAATGCTGAAAAGGGTTTTCACTTTAGACAATCAATGGGTTTACAGAAAGATACAATAATTCACATCTGTGCACTGAGATGTTTGACTACTGTTCTGTGTTTCAGTGTCTATATTTCTTTTCTAACTTTGCTTCATTGCGAGGGACTGTGTCTCAATATGCCCCAGTAAAATCAACAAGAAATTATACCAGTGACAAACAGCTCATTATAAGTGAAATACTACTTGGAGGTAATTTTCACAAATACAAGAGAATGAAAATTGGATCAGTTCTGCAAAGGTTTATTAATGTACTCTGTCAGATTAATGATTTATCCCCTGTATATTGTGTGTGTGTATATATATATACACACACAAAAAGTTTCAGCATGATGTATAAATTTGATCTTTTGTTTTTAATTGTGCTGTTTAAATTCCTAAAAACCTCTACTTTCATAATATCCATTTTTTTCAGATACACAAAGATGAAGACAGCGACAAACATCTACATTTTCAATTTAGCACTTGCAGATGCATTAGAATTAATCACACTACCTTTCCAGGCAACTGACACTCTCCTGGGATTCTGGCCTTTTGGAAATATACTGTGTAAAATAGCAATATCAATTGACTATTACAACATGTTCACCAGCATCTTTACACTGACAGTGATGAGTGTTGATCGGTATATAGCCGTCTGCCACCCTGTTAAAGCATTAGATATAAGAACCCCTTTCAATGCAAAGGTTGTTAATGTGTGTATTTGGGGACTCGCTTCCGTGATTGGAATACCAGCAATGATTATGGGATCGGCTGAAACAGAAAACAATGGTAAATCACAGCAAAATATGTATGTCATACTCTTATCAAATCAGTTGTATATGAACTATGTCCCAAATTTGGCTGTCTGAAAACAGAAATTGTCCAAAATTTGATATTTTCCTCTCTGGAAATTGTTCAGCTTTTGCAAAATTTTTTGTCATTTACCTCTCCACTGATCATGTGCATCTCAAGTACCAGCATACAGCAGTTGCCCGTGACCAACTCATTTGTGGCATGGTGGTTTTGATCTTTTACTGAAAACGTATAACGTAAATGCAGAACAGGAATCTATTCCTCAGTGCGATTGAAGTAGGAGAATTGGTTTCTGAAAACTCCAGTAAATATGGCCTCTTGTTAAAGGCCTGACTACCGTTTCTTCTCCTCTTCCTCCACAGTGTTACTTCAGCTCATTCACCCTCTCATGCTGTAGGCCAACTGGGCCTACAATTTGCAGTACCCACAACTGGGGGCAAAAGATATGAACATGACCATTGAAGTCAGAACCAAAGACTTCATAATGTATCATTGCAACTTCCTGTGGATTTAACCAACTTTAAATGACAGTACAAACCTTGAAATACTTTCAACAGCAACAAATAAGAATCAATCAGTAACTAATTTGAGAGTCATTGATAATCCCTTTCAACAGAGCTGGTCGGGGTTGGGAGAGATCCTTTTTGTTGCTGAATGGATGCTGAGCTGTACGAGGTGAAGAGAAGGCATTAATTGCAATGCTGGGCTCTTGTGGTGCGGGGGTGGTGTCCCTACCTCTAAGCCAGGAGGCCCAGGTTCAAGTCTCACCTGTTCTAGAGGTGTATAATAGTATCTCTGAACAGATTGTTTAAAAAATATCTGTCTGCAGTGCTAATGTTAGAAATGACTGCTTAAGTGAAATCAGTTTGACACAAAGATTGACATCACGATCTGCCTACACTGCATCTTTCTGATGTACACTCCTACTGGCTGTGTGACCAATGTACCCAAAATGACACTGGGGGAAGCCGTAGCAGACGTTTGCATGCACGTATAGCATGGGTCCCTTTTCGAATGCCAGACTACATCTTAGTACTAAAACGTCAGATAATGTGAACCAAATTTTTATAACGTACATAGAAATCTGAATTTATTGGGTCCTGTTACATCTTACTGTAATCTGGCCTGGCAAGGAGAGCAATCAACAGTCTAAAATATGCATGAGCACTACAGCAAACCTGATTCATATATCTTAACTTTAACTTTTCTCCCTTGTGTTACAGAAATTGAATGCCTTCTGGTTCATCCACAACCACACAATTATTGGAAGCCGACAATCGAAATAGCTGTTTTCCTTTTCTCCTTTGTTATTCCAGTTGCTATCATAACAGTTTGCTACACATTAATGTTAAGGCGGTTAAGAAGTGTACGTGTACTTTCTGGGTCAAAAGAGAAGGACAGAAACTTGCGTAGAATCACAAGAATGGTCTTAGTGGTTGTGGCAGTCTTCATCATCTGTTGGACCCCAATCCACATTCTAGTGCTAGTACAAGTTGTCTGTAATCATGAAATCATGACTATTATGCCAAGCTGGTATTTTTGTGTTGCTCTTGGATATGCCAACAGCAGCCTGAATCCTGTTCTTTATGCCTTTCTGGATGAAAACTTCAAAAGGTGCTTTAAGGAGTTTTGCTTTCCCTCCACTTTTAAAAAAGAACCTAAGGTATCAAATGGGATGAGAAGTATCACAAAAGGTGTTGCTTACTCATGTAAAAATACAGATGGCACAGAAAATGTTGCATGACTGGAGACAGCAACTCTTTCACTTAACTGGCCACCAAGAGAACAAAATTAACTGAAACATGGAGCTAGCTCAAATTGTGCAGATCTTTAAAAATGTGCACTTTCTGCTGCATTTTTAACTTGAATGAGGGGGTCATATTTCTGGTTTTAATAAATCAAGAGTTTTAAAATGATCAAAACCAATTAATGAGCAATCATCATTGGTGGGTAACGAATTAGAATCTGAAACATAATGTGAATCATTTTAAAAATTAAAATTAACACAAGCAAGTTAAAATAACAGCGGGTTAGTTTTTCAAATGAGATCAGCTTTCCCTTAGAAATTTGTGATGGGTGAAGCAATTCTTCAAGTTACAGTAGTGTTTGTCTACATGAACAGCAGTATTTACTTACGTCAGCTATGTTAATGAACATTGTGATAAAAGTCTTATTGCATGCTAATGAAATATTTACTCCTTTCATCATACAAGTAACTGTGATAGGTTCAGTACAAAATCAATTATAATAATGTCTGTTTTTTGTGACTGAATGCAAAAACCCATTTTGTTACTTTCAGTATTCCAGTTTGCGGCTGTTTGAGTGTAAGCACAGAATAATCTTAAAAACATTAAAGATTTTGTATTTACAGTGTCACGTTTGGGGCTATATAACTGTAAGCACAGAGTAAGCTTAAAAAACTATAGAATTTTGAATGCAAGACAACAAGGTGCAGAGCTGGATGAACACAGCAGGCCAAGCAGCATCAT